TGTATCTCTGACTCTCCCTCTGTCTCTCTGTGTGTCTCTGACTCCCCCTCTGTCTCTGTGTGTCCCTGACTCGCCTGTCTCTCTGTACATTACGTACATGTGTGCTTTCATGTGTGTGAGTGCATGCATGTGGTGGCAGAGGACAACCTTGGATGTTGGTCCTTCTTGTCTTAAATTGTTGAGGCTAGACCTCCTTGTTGGATGTCATTGCAGGCTCCAGACTACTGGACCTGAGAGCGTCTAGGGACTCTCCTCCCCTCCTGCACACCCTACCCAATCTCTGAAGCAGCTCATTCTGCTAGGAAAAGATGGGGAACAACTGCCCAGGAAAGCACTGGTTCTTGGTTCTCAGCCTGCCTCCCTCCCTCCCTTCTTTCCTCAACTTTAACTCTCCCGGGGAGCATGCACCCAGCTTCTGAAGGCAGCCTGGGCTTGTACTAGGGTCTAAAATGATTTCTAAAATTTCCCCAAATTAAGTTTTTGGTTTTTGTGTGTGGGTTTTGTTGTTGTTTTGCTTTTGTTTGTTTATTTGTTTGTTTATTTGTTTGTTTGTTTGAGATAGGGTTTCTCTGTGTAGCCCTGGCTGTCCAGGATTTGATCTGTAGACCAGGCTGACCTCAAACTCACAGAGATCCGCCTGCCTCTGCTCCCAAACTCTGAGATTAAAGGTGTACGCCACCATGCCAGGCAGAGTATTCTTACTGAATATTATAGTTTGTTTATTTTGGAGATTGGGACAGTTTTATTATGTAGCCTGGCTAGCCTGGTATTATGTAGATGGCCTTGAACTTCCAACAACCCTACCGCCTCAGCATCCTGAGTGTTGGGATTACAAGCGTGTCCCAACATACCTGGCTCAAACGGCCAGTTCTGCAGCCTTCCTCAGAATCATGTACACAACAAATTTGGAAAAATTTTGGAATGTATTCCAGGTCTTCCTTTTCTAACTGACAATATTAAAATGCTGTTTCTTTCTGGGCTTTGAAACACATCATTCTAGGAAGTCATTGGCCATCTGGCTCAGCAACAAAAAAGTTGATGCAGGTTACATGCAAAAAGCAACACTATGAAGCCTGAAGCAAAAAAAAAAAAAAAAAAAGCAAACAAATAACCAACCAAGGAAGGAAGGAACTAGGAACTCAGCAGCAGTGGAAGCGGCAAGGCTAATCGGAGCGGAAGGAACAAAGGGCTATGAACAGGAAAGAGGATGAAGTCTGTGTAGTCCGCCATGAGTTGTGATCTATGCTCATGAGTAATGAAAAACTAGCGCAGGGTTAAATATATCGTGGTGTCCTGGAACAATTATAGCACAGGAAAAAGACTGCTATCAATAGCAAGTCTGGAGTTCAGTTAATAGACAAACTTTATTATTTTAGCTTTGACAAAGGGATCACAGTTTCCTAGGATGTCACCTGCTGGTTGGTTTTTGTCAAGCTGACACAAACCTAGACATGTCTGGGAGGAGAGGCTCTCAACTGCAGAACGGCCTCCGCGGCTCATCCTGTGGGCAAGCCTACAGGGCATTTTCTTGATTAATGACTGATGTGGGAGAACCCAGCTCACTGTGGCCAGTGCCACCCTTGGGCAGGCGGCCCTGAGTAATATAAGAAAGCAGGCTGAGCAGGGCAGGAAGCATCTTTCCTGCACGGCCTCTGCTTCAGTTCCTGCCCTGGCTTCCTTCAATGGACTGGAAGATACACGCTCTCCTCTCCAAGTTGCTTTTGGTCATGGTGTTTATCACAACAGAAACCATAACTAAGACACTTACAGTAGAGGAAACTGGGTAAAGACTACATGGGAATTCATTATTTTTGCAACCTTATTAAAAGCTTAAAAGCCAGGCAGTGGTAGTGGATGCCTTTAATCCCAGCACTCAGGAGGCAAAGGCACATGGATCTCTGTGAGCTCAAGGCCAACTTGAGCTACAGAGTGACTTCCAGGACAACACAGCAACCCTGTCTCAAAAAAAAAAAAACAAAAAAAAACAAAAAAAAAAAACCCACCACGCTGGGCAGAAGTGGCGCAAACCTTTGATCACAACACTCAGAAGCCAGAGCCAGGCGTATTTCTGTGAGTTCGAGGCCAGCCTGGTCTACAGAGCGAGATCCAGGACAGGCACCAAAACTACATGGAGAAACCCTGTCTCGGAAGAAAAAAAAAAGAAAAAAGAAAAACACTTTGGGATTGTTTCATAGATTGAAAACATGTCCAGGAGCTGGGGAGATAACTTGGTAGAGCACTTGTCTTGTATGCATAAAGCCCTGGATTCAATGCCATAAACTAGGTATGGTGGCACACATCTGCAATCCCATCACTCAGAGGTAGAAGCAAGATGGTCAGATGTTCAAGGTCACCCTTAGCTAAATAGAGTTCAAGGCCAGCCTGGAACTTAGGGTTCTGTCTCAAACAAACAAACAAACAAACAAAAACCAACCAAACAAACAAAAAACATGGCTATATACCATGACTTAGAAATTCTACTTTGCCAGGCAGTGATGGCACACACCTTTAATCCCAGCTCCAGAGGGACCCAACACCTCTAGCCCCTGTAGGCACCTGCACTCCCATACCTGATTTTATTACTTGGGTTCTAGGTAGACTTGGGTTCTGGGTCTTCACGCATGTCACAGGCTCCAGCCTCTAAAACTCCTTTTTTTTGTGTGTGTATGGTTTTTCAGACAGAATTGATCTATGTAACTCTGGCTGTGTTGCTGGGATTAAAGGCATGCACCACTGTGATTAGTTGTAAACTTTGTCTTTGAATAAACTCCAACTGTGTTTTAAAAACTTTTTCTTTTTTTCATGCAGAAAGAAATCTGGCTTTAAAAATGATCATTGTCGAAATGATAGTGAAAAAAAGGCTAAGAAACAATGACTAACATTGAGTGAAACATGCAAGTTACAGAAAAATATAGAGAGTACGATACTATACAAAAAAATTCAAGGTAAAATAATTATTGTCTAAGTATTTACACACATGTAAACTATGATTTTAAAAGTTTAGAAAATCTGGGCTGGAGAGATGGCCCAGGGGTTAAAAGCATGCACTGCTCTTACAGAGGACCAGAGTTCAATTCTCAATACAGCAGGTGGCTCACAACTACATCTAACTTCAGCTCCAGAGGGACCCAACACCTCTAGCCAGTGGGCACCTGCACTCCCAAGTATATCTACATATAAACACACATACACACACAATTAAAAATAACAAAAAAAATGAGGCTGGAGAGATGGCTCTGACCATAAGAGCACTGGCTGCTCTTCCAGAGGTCCTGAGTTCCAGTTCCCAGCAACCACATGGCAGTTCACAACCATCTATAATGAGATCTAATGCCCTCTTCTGGCATTCAGGCATACATTCGGAAAGAACACTATATACATAATAAAAAATAACTCTCTAATAACAAAAAATAAAAACTTTTAAAAAAAAAGTTCAGAAAATCTGTTAGCCTTTTGAAGTATTAGATAATAGGAACATATCAAAACCCAGGAGAGAAATATAAAGAAATTAAAAAATGGCAGCTGTGTGGGCCAGGGATATAGATAAATGGTACAGAACTTGCCTAGCACATGTGGTCTGACTTTAATCCCTAGCAACTCTCACCCTGGCCCCTCTAAAGCATTAACTGTGTTCTTTTCTTAGGGGCTACAGACACATGGGTGTTCATTTTACTGTTCCTCACCTCTTAGTTATTCTGATTTGTTTCTGTTGCATAAACTGTTTCATGACTAACAACTATTTGAAAGTAGCACGTATCACTTTATTGAAGTGAACCTAGGTGACTTAAAATGGCATGAACGCCTTTCCACTGCTTGTCACCCAGCACTAACGTAAACCTACACTGTCCAAAAGCCAACAAGAACTACCAACTGCTTGTCATCCAGCACTAACATAAACCTACACTGTCCAAAAGCCAACAAGAACTACCAACTGCTTGTCATCCAGCACTAACATAAACCTACACTGTCCAAAAGCCAACAAGAACTACCAACTGCTTGGGCCAGGGCTGTAACTCTGTGGTAGAGCACTTGCCTACCATGAACAACAACACTGGTTTGATCTCCCAGCAAATAAAAAAATATTTGAAACTTTTAAAAACAGTCTAAATTATTTTAAAGAAAAAAAAATTGTTTTAAGTAGTTCATACCCAGCCACCTTGCTGAATGATGAATTCTGCTGCATGGTCCTCCAGATACGTCACGCCAAACTGTAGCAGGGTACTCAGGGGCTCTTGACCTCGCCGTGTCAATTCCAAAAGCATTTGTTGTAGCAAAACTAGAGGCACCAAAATCTTCAAGGCAAAGATGGAAACATGGAAAAACGTAAGACATGAAATTCTTATGACAGATTTTATGTTCAACCATTAAACATTTTAAAGCAGACACATGATTGTGGTTATTTCATTCTCACTATGATAAAACATCAACTCCTGCTAGAAATTTTCAGGCCACTGTATATGAATTTCTATAAGAGGGAGGAGAAAAAGTTGTTATGTGAAAAAAACCATGTGTGAAACATATGTATACAGAAATTCACACAATAATTAATTATAATGAAAAAAGACTAAAAACAATTCAACAGACTAATCTAAAAACTGTAGCCACCCTAGCTGTTAAAAGACTAGATTGTTCACCCACCAACTACCAAAATTTAAGTCAACACACACATACATATGCACACATAAACCTAAGGCTAACAGTGTCTCTGGGGAAAAATCTACAACTAACTAGTAACAGCAGTCAGTTAAGGAAACTTACTGACTAAGGGCGGGTGAGGGAAGAGTAATATCCTTGTTTCTAGTATTTCTGCACTTCCCCCCCCCCCTTTTTTTTTTCCAAGACAGGGTTTCTCTGTGTAGTTTTGCGCCTTTCCTGGAACTCACTCTGTAGACCATGCTGGCCTTGAACTCAAGAGATCCACCTGCCTCTGCCTCCCGAGTGCTGGGATTAAAGGAGTGCACCACCACTGCCAGGCTTATTTCTGTACTTTTTACATTTTTCACCAAACACTTTTACTATCTATTTGAAAACAAATTTTCATTGTTGCTCTTTTCGAGAGAGGGTCTCATGCTGTCCCCCAGGCTGGCGTCATGCTTATGGCGATCCTCTTGCCTCAGTCCCCCAAGTGCTGAGTGAGACTATGGGTGTGAGTGATCACACCTGGCACAATAATAACCTAAAAGTGATGAGCTACGCTATGAAAGTCACCAAAAATCAAATACAAACAGAGACATCATAAACTCTACCTGTGGTGGTTTGAATGTAATTGGCCCCCATGAGCTCATAGGGAGTGGCACTATTAGGAGAGGTGGCCTTGTTGGAGGAAGTGTGGTCTTGTTGGAGGAGGCTGGATGACACACCATTAATCCAGGCCTTGAGGCCGAAGGGCACACCTTTAATCTGGGTCACACCTTCTGTTGGAAGTGTGTCACTGTGGGGGTGGGCTTTGAGGTCTCTTTCTCAAGCTTCACTCAGTGTGACAGTCAGTGGACTCCCTGTTGCTTTTGAGTCAAGAAGTAGCACTCTCAGCTCCAGCACCATGTCTGCCTGCATGCCGCCATGCTCCCCACCATGGACTGCCTGCATGCCGCCATGCTCCCCCCATGAAGATAACTGACTGGACCTCTGAAACTGCAAGTGAGCCCCCTCAATTAAATGTTTTCTTTATGAGTTGCCATGGTCACGGTGTCTCTTCACAGCAATAAAAACACTAAGACAATACCTAATAATCCTGTGGCTCAATATTTAAAATAATCAGAATTTACAATACAAACTAACTCGAGTCTACTGCCTTCCTTTCAAAAACAACAACAACAAGTGCAAACAGAAAAGTGAAAACAAAAACTGAAGGGCAGAGCGCCGGCGGCCCTGGTTCTCTCTAACACCACAAATGCCAAAGCTAGCGATGGGGATGAGGGGAAGAGAAAGGGTTCACTAACGTCAGGCAGCCAGCTGTCTGCATGCAGGCTCTTTGTCTAACATCAAAGGCTCTCCTGACCTAAGAAGGAATGCATGAGGAAATACACCAATTTCAGTTCCTTGTTTCTGGATTACTAAGGAAATAACGGAATGACAAAGTATTTCCTCAAAAGAAAACAAACTCTGAAAATGAGTTCATGCTTCATACTAATATTCTTGGCTTTTACTTCAGTAAAAGCAGCCTAGAGGGAATCCACTTTGAAGTCTGAACAGAAGAATACAACACACATCTTCATTTTTGACATTCTCAAAGGACTCCAGCTCAAAATATATTAAAACATTTTCTTACCACTAATGGAAATAGGGCTATGAAGAAGAATGAGATAGGCCTTTTCCATAAGAAAATGCATCAAGCTGTTTAAAACAAAACAAAATGAAGGTTTATCTTGCCCCAATACTGTGCCTTGATTAGGAGCAGGTAAAGGATGGCTTGAGAAGCCATCTTGCAAAATTCGTATCCACTTCAAAGGCCTGGGATGTCCTGTACTACAAAGCACTCTAATTTCCTATAATAATCCATAAATGTGTAACATTTTGAGGCTAGGCATGCTTAATATGCTATTGTTTATTGGGGAAATGAATTGCAAACACCTTATTTTATGAGCCACTACATAAAATAATATTTCCTTTCATCTGTTACAAATGACCTCTTCATGGATATCAAAAGTAGATACTCATTTCCTATAAACTAAATCAGGAATAAATGTGAAACGCTCTCTCTCCTGTCCCTTTAGCTTTGGTTACAGACCCTCTCAGTCCGTCATTTAACCTACCTGCTCTTCACCTAGCACTATGCCCACGCCTTCACATGAGTTTTCCTTTCTATTCTATAATCTTGAATGGCAGTAACCAGAATCCAGACACTTCATCTTATGAGACTATAGCATTTTCTCTCTGTTTGATAATGTTCTTGATGATACATGTCTTAGCAAAAATGCTTCATTTCCTCTCCTTTCATTCCTCACACTATTTTGATTTTTTAAAATATCATGTGTATATTTTATTGGGGAGGGGGTAGTCTGAGAGTGCACCATGGGGTGTGTGTGAAGGTCAGAGAACAGCACTGGGGAGTCCATTCTCCCTCCACCATGTGGGGCCCAGGGACCAAACTCAGGCCACCAGGCTTGGTGGCAAGCACCTTTACCTGCTGAGTCATTCTGCCAGCCCTGTTTTGTTTTGCTTAAAAGAAGGTCTCAAGAAGCCAATGCTAGCCTTGAACTACTGATCCTTCTGCTTTCACCCCAAGTACTGGGATTACTATGTGCCACCACACTCAGCTCATAGGAATCATTACATGACTGCCACACCAGGCTTACTTATCTGACAGACTTTCCTTAACGGACCTCCAGCCCACGCACTTCCATTTGTATTTTATTTACATTTTTTGTTTTGTTTTGTTTAAGGTCTCATGTAGCCCAGGCTAACCTGGGGATCATCACATAGCTGAGGATGGTCCTGAACTCCTGATTCCTTGCCTCTACCTCCCAACTGCTAGCGTCACAGACATATCGCCATGCCCAGTTTAGAGCACTAGTGTAGATCATCTTTACACACTTCAACTTACTTTCCTGTACAAGAAGCATCAAGAGTTACTCTAAGTGGTCTAAGGATGTAGCTCAGTTGGTAGAGTACTTGCTTAGCAACCATGAAGCAACACATAAAACTAGGTGGTGGTGGTTCAAGCTTGTAAACCCGGAAGATTACATGTTAATAACGGGAAGCTTAGACGGTCAAGCTCATCCCTGGCCACATAGTTTTCCTGAGGTTAGCTTGGGCTAAAATGAAATGCTGTTTCAAAAAACAAAAACAAGAAAAGTTAAGTTACTTCTACAACTCATTTATACCAACTGTATTATCCACAAGTAGTCTATAAAATCTAAAACCCATTTATTATTTTTTAGTACTCTGCATTTTTGTATTTTTTTAATGTTAAAAGAATTCAGAGCCTAGACATTCCAAGAAGGTCTCTCATTCACATCTCTAGGTTTAAAAATTAAGGAAGGACCAGAAATATAGTTTAGTTGTAGACTGTCTAGTACGAATGAAGCCCTGGATTTGATCCTGAGCACTATATAAACCAGCCATTGTGGTACATGCCTGTAATCCTAGCACTGAGAAGATAGAGACAGGAAGATCAGTAGTTCAAGATCATCCTCACAGTGAGGCTACACAGTGAGTTCCAGGGCAACCTAAAGAACGCAAAGTCCTGTCTCAAAGTATAAATAAAATTATACAATAAAGAAGAAGCAAATCATCTTCTCTTTTTATTCTTATTCTAAGTAATTTCCTCACAGAACAACAGTACTCTGCACATGGAATATTTTTTTCCTTAGAGATTTTTGTAATGGAATGTTTAGGAACCTTTCACCATCAGAAAAGTTAACTTCTACTGGCTTACCTTTATTCATATGTTTATTTAATTCCCTGACAAAGATTGGGGCAGACATAAAAATGCACAGTTTGGCAATGAAAAGAATATAAGCAAATAGAAAGTTGCACCAAAGTGCATGTGGAAGAGAGGTTGTAACTCTTAATGACAAACTTCCTGCTCTGCCCTGGGTGACAGCAGAGGTATCCTGAGGGCAAGACCCCTTCAAGGCACCAATTTGTGAATAGGCTTATCTGTCTGAAAGGAGAGAGCCTGAACTAAGAATACTGTTTAAGGGGTTCCCTGCTCAAAAATGATGACCTTGGTACACATAAACTACTGCAGCTGTGACCCAAGGGGCCAGGCTCCATGTGGAGTTGGCAGCAGAACTTGGCAGCTGCATCCACATGGTACTGGTTTTGCACACAAGAAAGACGCAAGACTAAGAGATTCATGGAATCTTGTCCGTGATTCCAGAATGTTGCTGAGGCCAGACAACTGTGGCAGGGGCAGAGTCCCTGCAAGGAGGCTCTGAGAGGCCACTGTGTAAAGATGTAAAAGTGAAGCCTAAGCTGCAATGGAGCCCCTGGGACACTGGAGACCGTTAAACAGCCACCAAGGAAAGATGCTGGCATGAGTGGAGCTGACCCACAAGACAGACTGTTTGCTGTGGACAACAGGACTACCCATGCGATGCTTCTTCACAGTCATCTCCTCACACTCGGCCTTTGCAAGGCAACGCAGTATAAGACAACAGATCATCACATGACACAGCGGAAAGGCTAGAACCAGCAGATCTCAACTTGTTGCTAGTCAAGAGATCCTTCACAAGTGACTTAACCCTTTCCTAAACAGTCATCAAGCTAAGTAAATAAAGAACAGAATAAAAGCTCATTATGCTGGGGATGTAGTTCACCAGTCGAGTGCTTGCCTGGCCTGTGCAAAATCCAGGGTTCCATTCTAGGTCAGCAGGACATCCCACCCCTTTCCAGTCCCCAAACAGAGCGATAAAATCCACTGTGCATTCTTCAAAGGCGAGTTTGGAATGATCAAATGAGATTCGACATGAGATACACTACTATAGAAACTATAAAAACACAATGGCATTAATCTTTTGAAAGAGCCAGAAGAGGTTATCTATTAAGTGAACATCTGCTTCTTCTCCAAGACATGCTAACTCACATGTTAACAAGTGACTATCTGTAGACAAATATCATGTCTAACAGAGAGAAATCAAGAGACGCTAGGAAACTCAAAGAGCACAGAAAAGGAGGAGAGCACGCTACAGGGCAGCACGCCACAGGGCAGCACGCCACAGGGCAGCACGCCACAGGGCAGCACGCCACAGGGCAGCACGCTACAGGGCAGCACGCTACAGGGCACATATTTTGAGGCACATTGTTGAACCCTGCCGCATTAATTTAAAGAAACACACGAAAGCAAAACTATCCACTTAACATAGTCTTGGTTCATACATTAATTAGTGCTACCAGTTCCATGTTGTGGGATGCTAACAATTCTTTCTTTCTTTTATCATTAGCACTAAAATCTTGGAAGAGCAAAGATAATTTGTTAATACCTTATTCCATCCGCTGGCATGAACGGCAGTCTCCACTGTACATTCACGATATGCCTGATATGTCACTGGCCTGTAGAGATTTTTTTGAAAGTCTGTGTCACAAAAAGGGCTTTAATTTCAGATGAATAAATATACAGACACTACTGTGTTGTTGAACTCTTTGCTAACATGACTAGGATTATTCAATATATTGATTTTTTTTTCAAGATATGGCTTTTAATATTTGGTATGTGTTTTTTCCCAAAACATTCTCTATATTGCTGGGGAGGTTGTTACAGTATATCAAGATAAATAATATATTCTAGCCATTATTTTTTAAATACTTGGAATTTATCTCTATGCTGCAGATAAATGCCTGAACTACAGATACAGAATCAAATAGTAACATGTAAAACTTAACTCAGTTAAATGAAAACACAATCTAGCTTTTTTTAAAAGCAAAAGTCTAAGCCTGGCAGTGGTGATAATACCTTTAATCCCAGCACTTGGGAGACAGAGGCAGGCAGATCTCTGAGTTCAAGGCCAGCCTGTTCTACAGAGTGAGTTTTAGGACTGTCAGGGTTATGTAGAAAGACCTTGTCTCAAAAAAACATAAATAAATAGATCAAGAAAATAAGAAGTGGGAAGAGTTATGCATTTATAGGTTTTAAAACTCCAATTCCAGAAGTATTTTCTGTTCTGACTACTCTAGTCTGTAATTTCTTAGCTGATGACTATACAAGAATAATTAAAAAACTACCACTTATTAGTGCTCTAATATATTAGCTTTTATATTTTTCATATTTATATTTCACACTACATCATATATCATCACTACATATTAGGAAGGCAAAGTTAGAAAAAGCTAAGAGACTATCCCAAAACCATGCCTGACAAACATCCAGTTGGATCTGGCTTCAAAAGGACACTACTTCAATTTCTAGTTAGGATTTTTGTTTTGTTTTGAAGACAGGGTTTCTCTGTGCAGCCTTGGCTGTCCTGGAATTCACTCTGTAGACCAGGATGGCCTTGAACTCAGAGATCCGCCTCCTCTGCCTCCTGAGTTCTGAGAATAAAGGTTACCACTCAGCTCGTTAGAATTTTGACATATACCACAAAAATATCTAGATGTCATATATAGCTAAAAAGAATTTGAAGTGTGGTTATTTTGCTTAAAATATTGACACATGCTGTATTTCAGAGAATAAGGGAAAAATGTGAAATCTCTCTATTATTAATAACTTTTGAGTTTTTAAAATATTTTACCTATACTGATATAAAATATATTAAAATTTTCATTACTGTTATGTGTTATGTGTCTGCCAGATGTCTGACCTTCATGTGACTTGCACTGTATGTACTCTGCTATATAACTCAGCAGCAGCTGGCTACTACAGTGCTGCTGAAGGACGACTTTGTAAGCACACCATACACACAAGACTACTATCTTGCTGACATCACACTCTTATTAATGCTTAGGATTCTTTTAGAAGTACTGGGCCACATACTAGACTCCTGTAAACCTGGAATTGCACCAGATGCTGTACCATCCACCCACCTACAGCTCCCTGAAGCTTCATTGCGGCTATCAATCCCTTCACTTCCTTTCCTGAACTGCTGCTGCTGTGGTCTCTGACGTCCTTATAGGTAGTCTGGCCATCAGGCTAAGTACTTTATCATCCTTCAGAATGAAACATGATTTAAAACGTTATATGTATACATATACATGCACATGAAAGATGTAGCAGGTTAAAACATTCATGTTTTAATACATAGAAAAGCAAGTAGCTGAGCAATCAGCCTTCCTTCTGAGGTCTTAGAATTAAGCAGAGAAGAAAGGGGTACCTTTATAAATCAAAGGTATTTCATATAAAGAGTTCAAGATTAATTTCCTACTTTAGCAAAACCATTTGGAGTAGGAGATATTTCCACCTAATATATTGCCTTCAACTTGTACAATAATTGCATTGCTCCAAAGTATTAGTAACAGCTTAAACCTTTCAAAAATAAGATTTTTGAATAAATTTTATTTGCTATGCAACCAACTTCAAAAATAACCATCACTATTTAAGGTTTGGGGAAAAGTAAATATTTATCTAAACCGGCTTCCTCTTAAAGAAAAAAGGAACTCAGGGCATAGTGGCACAACCCTTTAACCCTATCACTTGGAAGGCAGAGGCAAGGTGAATCTCTGTGAGTTCCAGGCCAGCAAGACTCCATGGTAAGAGACCCTGTCTCAAAAGGCAACGTTATCCTATTCTGCTCGTTTGAGTTGGTAATATCCCAGCCAAGTTACAATTAGTAAGTGGAAACTGACATAGAAGAATGAAATGATTTGCCTAAAGGAGCTGGAGAGATGACTCGGCAGGTAAGATTAAGAGCACATCCTGCCGCGTTCAGTTCCCAGCACCCACCGTGGGGCCTCTAATTCCTGGTCAAGGAGACTCAACTCCTTTTTCTGGCTTCCTGGGCTCTAACATACATATAAACAAAAATAAAAACAAATCTTAAAGGCCAGGCATGGTGGTGGTACATGCCTTTAATCAGCACTTGAGAGGCAAAGGTAGATGGATTTCTATGAAGTCAAGCCAAACCTGAGCTACAGTAGGACCCTGTCTCAAAAAAGACAAAGAAAAGGAAATAGAATTGTTTAAGGCTGTAGTCTCAGTATATACGATATATGAACATTTAAGGACAGAGCTTAATGACCCTGCTCAAGCCGCCCTTCACCTCCTTAGGCCTTCCTCAGAGCTCACTGCTGACAATCTTAGAAACCATGCTGTGAGTCTAAATCTCCTGCTGAAGTTTAATTTCCTGGCCACATTTCTTTAAGCTTGTATCTGAGGTAGAAAAATCTACCTATAGTTTCACTTCACTGAGTATAATTAAGGATTTTATATATGCTCCTTTCACCAGAATATATAGAAACCCTAATTATTTCCTGATACAAACACAGCAAACTATAAACCCTGACTACATAACAGTAAGGAATTTCCTTACTATAACAGTGACTTGCCATCTGAATTTCAACCTGTTGGTGAGGAACAAATTTCCTCCTAAGCGATCCATCCTCATCAATTCATACTAATGTTGTAATTCATATTAATTCTTAAAAGTTGACTTTTAAGACTTATCGTAAGTGAACTGGTTCTATTTTAGCATGCTTGCGTTTCCACTAGCTTCTCAATTTTAGCTTTACTATGGTGAAGACCATAGCTGGAAAGGAGTTCATTGCAGGAATACAGAAGTAGCTACACAGGCAGATGTGCAACCCCAAAAGATAACAATATCTACGATATAGGTACAATAAAAAATACAGACATCTAAAATACAAAGATAATGCTAATCACACACAAACCCCCAGCCAGTATAACTAATGAATATAGATGGCCCCTAATGGAACAGGGACAAAAAGTGATTAGGGCAAGGGCAATAGCTTGTATTTATAACACAGTAAATGCATCTACAGAAACCCAACAGCTCAACAGGTAAATAAAAGCCATCAGATCTCTGTTGGAATATTTAAATCCCTGCTCGAGGCAAATCTGGCATTCCAAACACAAAGCAGATGCTCTAGGAGCCCAAAGGAGGACGAGGGACTGCCTGCAGCAAAGCCCCAGCCACCCCAGAGCCGCATGCCACCCAGACACCACTCAGAGTTCTTGAGGCACACTCCACTCCGCAGCTGCAACTCACTGGCTGAGGATCACTTGCAACGCTTTATGCAAAGGCTCTTTCAGATCCTGGGACACTCTTTCGCCAAGATGGGCCAAGCAGTCTTCTATTGAGCTTTCGGGGTTAGCAGGGCTAAACACTGGTGAGGTGTGACAGTCAAAGCCTGTGCTGGTAAAGGCTGAAGACAAGATAAAAGAAAAACCAAAATTAATACATGGTGCCGGGGCTGGAGAGATTGCCAGTGGTCAAGAGCACCTGCTGCTCTTCCAGAGGACCAGGGTTTGATTCCTAGCACCCAGTCTCAGGAGATCCAAAGTCGTCTTCTGGGATTCCATGGGCATTGCATGCACATGGTGCACAGACACACATGCAGACAAAACACTCATACACAAAACATAAATAAACAAAAATTAAACAACAACAACAAAAAAATAGTACCAAAAGTTAGGCTATAAGCCAGGTGTAACGGTGCACATCTATAGTTCTGACACTCAGGATTCTGAGGCAGGAGGATCTCAAGAAAGAAGCCTGCTGGGCTACAGTGAGTTCAAGGTCAGTTGGGCTATACTGCAAAAGCCTGTGTCAAAAAAAAAAAAAAAAATCAAATAAAAAGAAAGCTAGGCATGGTAGCACACTAGGGAGATAGAAGCAGGACAATGGGAGTTCAAGCCCAACCTTGAATCTGAGACCAACCTGGGATCCAAAGAGGCCCTGTCAGAAAAAAAGAAAGAAAGAAAAGGAAGGGGGTATCTTTGTGAGGGCCCATGAAACTAAGATAGTTACTGTTAGGAACAAGAGTTTTAAGGTACTTGGAAAGATCATTATACATATTAATCTTGTCTGGAACACAAAACTGATGCCCTAAAACTGAGGTTTTATTGTTTTGTTTTTCAGAGGGAAGTTTCCCTATATAGCCCAGGCTGGCTTTGAATTCATGACTCTCTTAGCTCAGTCTCTCAAGTGCTGGGATTATAGGCATAAACCACTATGAATTATTTATTTGTAAATTTACTTTTTTTTTTGGCCAGCGTTTGTCTTACTGTAGCCTAGGTTCACATGGTATTTACTATGTAGCCCAGGATGGCCTCAAACTTACAAGAACCTTTGTCCCTCGGTCCCACAAATGCTAGAACTACAAGCACAAACCAGCATGTCCAGTTTATTCATAAATTTGTATTCATTTTCTTTCCTGACTAACAAGAAACTTATTTATAAACACAATCTATCGGTGGTTTATGGAAAGTTATCATGCTTTATTTATTAAAGACACACACACAAGTAATAACAATTTTTAAGAAGAAGACATAAATTTGAAAAGAACATGGGGGAGACACATGGGAAGAGCTGGAAGGAGGAAAGGAAAGAAAGGGAGAAATGATGTAATTAGGATGTTTTCAAAACAAAATATAATTTAAAATGTGTATTTTGGCAAAAAAAAAAAAAAGCCATGAAAAATCATTTTCTGATAGGAAGTGAGGCCTGCTCCCCAGCAGAGAATTCATGTCTGATACTATGAACTTCTAAACAATCAAATACATAAATTTTTGGAGGAAAAGGCAGCAATGGCAGCTGCTGCCAGATGTGGTGGTACACATCTTTAATCCTAACACTGGAGGCAGAGGCAGTTGGATTCTGGGAGCTGGAGGCCAGCCTTGTCTACATAGCAAGTGTCGGGCCAGCCAGAGTTACATGGTGAAACCCTATCTCAAAAGTGAAAACACTAACAACACAACAACAAAAAGAAAAAAGAGAGAAAACCAACTAAATCAACAATAGCCACAGCTGACAGAATCTGCTGGCTGCTCAGGGAAGCAAGAGGGAACAGACCTTCAGAGACTTCTTTCTCCAAGGATTTCAGTTCTTCTTCAATCTCAGATTTAACTTTTAATAAAACTTCTGGGTCCAGAGACTGTGGAACGGCTTCTAGTTGAACTCCTGAAACAAACAAGAGAAATCAAGGGAGGTTACTCTAGAAAGAGGGACAGATAAATCATTAGAATATAAACGGTTGCAGTAGCCACATGTGGAAACTGGGCAGGAGGGTCACTTTATATCAGGAGTATAAAGCCAGCCTGGGCAACATAGTGGTACCCTATCTCAAAAAACCAACCAAAAACCAAAAACCAGAACTATCTACAATTAGTATTAAGTCAGAAAACAAGAAATCAAATTTGATTATCAAGCCTAAAAGGTATTTTTTGCAACAATAAATAACAAAGCTGAGTAAATCAGTGAAGAGCACCTGCTTAAACACCTGACTTTGATCCCAGAACTGAAAGAAAAAGAAAAAGCAAGGAGAAACAATAATTAATAGAAGTCTGTGGGCCTAAGTACTGAGTAAAACCTAACATAGAAAAGAAGCCTCCGCACATTTCTGACTACAGAAACATGCATCGGGAGATAGGAAGAGAACGGTATCAGCATGCATAGGTCCCTTCTTCCTGCATGCAACAGTCTTCAAAAGAGAAATGTGGGAGCCAGGCATTATGGTCCTGAGATAATCTTTGCTCTAAGAAAGGCTGGGCATAGTGGTTTATGCCCATAATCCCAGCCAGCATTTAGGAGGCAAAAGCTGCCAACTCTGATGCCAGCCTGATCTGATAGCAAACTCTAGGCCAGTCAAGACTACACACATAGCCAGGCGGTAGTGGCACACGCCTTTAATCCCAGCACTCAGGAGGCAGAGCCAGGCAGATCTCTGAATTTGAGGACAGGCTGATTTAGGGAGTGAGTTCCAGGACAGCCAGGGTTACACAGGGAAACCCTGTCTGGGGGTTAGGGGGGAGACTACATATGTAGTGAGAGCCTATCTCAGGAGCAAATAAACAGAGCTCTAAGTAAACAACAAGCAGCTCTGAAGAGCTCCCAGTGACAGTAAGTCCCTCTCTGTTCTTAGCTTTGACTAAGAATCAAATTCACCAAGCAATGCTAGTGTGACCATCTAGGACCATATGCGTAACACAGCTTTGATGTCATTCTCGCCGTGGAAATCTACAGTGCTCCTTCTTCTCATTTTATTCCTTGGATTTTTCCATGGTGTGTGTGTGGGGGGGTATACAAGCATGAATGCAATCACACATGTAAGACAGAGGCCAACCCCAGGTTCCTTTCTACCTTATTTTGTTTGTTTTTATATGTACGAGTGTTCTACCTGAATGAATTTCTGTACACCACATGCATGCCTGGTGCTCAGGAAGACCAGAAGAAGACACTATGTTCCCTAGAGCTAGAGTTACAGGTGGTTGTGAGCTGCCACATGGGTGCTGGGAATTGAACCCAGGTCCTCTGGAAGTAAACCAGTGCTCTTACCTGCTGAGCCATCTCTCCAGCCCCTGCACCTTATTTTTTGAAACAGGATCTTTGCTGAACCTGGAGCACACTAGCTAGCTAATGAGTTCTAGGGGTTCATCTGTCTCTGCCTCCCCTGTCCTGGGGTTACAGACCAATGCCACTGCATCCGGCTTTAACCACGTGGGTGCTGGGGATCCAGTCTCAAGTTCTCCTGTTGTACTGTAGGCACTTTACTAACTGAGCTGCTGTCTCCTCACTCCCATTCACACTTTTTTGAGAGGGGAGGGGTTGAAACAGGATCTTACTAAATAGCCCTGGCTGGCATCCACCTCATGATCTTTCTGTCCCACATTCCGGTTGCTGAGATTTCAAGCAGGTACCGTGATGTCTGGATCCATTGTGCATACTTTTAAGACACACTGAATTATGTATACCAAAGAATGTTTTTTTCAAAAAGCAACCCAGGCCAGGCAGTGTTGGTGCACACCTTTAATCCCAGGACTCAGGAGGCAGAGGCAGGAGGATCTCTATGAGTTTGAGGCCAGGTGGTCTATAGAGCAAGTTCCAGGACAGGCTCCAAAGCTACACAAAGAAACTCTGTCTTGAAAAACCAATAAAAAGAAAAAAGGAAAAAA